AGCCATTCTCACGACTCGAGACTCTCAGGCATGCCTTCAGCATGTGGACTGAAATGCTGGCCCAGTTAACCTTTAACTCCAGCTCTAAGGTGTCTCAATAGTGGGGAAGCCACTTGGAAAACCAATAATTTCCCACAGCTCCTGGTGACACTCATCCGACCACTTGCTAAGCTTTGGGGCTATATCAGAGGCCCTGGGCTTCCTTCTGGCCTGCCTTACCTAGGAGTGGACGGTGTCAGGACACACGCACCACATTCCAGAGCCAGCCTGGAATGCTGTGAGTCCATGCAGACATGGGAAGAACAGACATCATCCCAGGGAGGGCCTCCCTGTGAGCCGACAAACCCCCCCCGACTTCTGCAGATTAGAAGTGCAGATGACAGACAGGTCAAGTCCATCCTATTTCTAACTAAAAATCAATTGCAGATCCCTTCCTTTGAGTAATTTCTCTTGAAAACTAACATACCTTCTGCTAAATACTCTCTCAGTCACCTGCACATGTGTATGACACAGGTACACACACATGTGTGCACACACTATTTTAAGATTCCTTTTTTTCCCTTTTCAGGGCTTCCTCAAAACAATGAAAGGTAACCTTTGGAGACTGCCTGCACCCAAATCTAATCATTTCTGGGTTTTTCTCATTCAGACACAAGTGTTCATGCTTGCAGAGACCTACTTAAAGGTGAGCACAGCCTCTGCCAGGCTTTAATTGGCAAACTAAGGCAACCACACTGGGCCTTCCTCTGCACCCCCAGAATTGGAAGACATACACAAATATATATCTTAATATCACCACAATGTTCTGGGTTTTTTTTTTTTTTTCCTGGTAAAATTTGGTAGACTACTTTCTTGTACCTAAACATTATTTCATAAGTGGTTTTCTATGACACTAAATAATCTCTATAATTATCATTTTAATGGCTGCGCAGAGCGAATGTACGCCATAATTTACTTAACTGTTTACCTATTGTTAGGCATTTAGCTGCTTCCATTTTTCACTGCTTTAACTTGGGATGAACATTTTTATATAAGCTATGAATTTAAGCAGCATGCAAAGATGACTCTCCATCACTAATCTAAAAATACAGGGTTTATATATTTACAACTCACATTTGATTATGAAATTTAATGAGAGTAATTAAGACATTTATATTCTAAATAGCTCCTCACTTCCTAGTGCTCCCTGAGCCTGACGGGCTCCACCATGACCAGCCACGTTCACCTCAATATGCATAGTCCAGTGAATTCTGAACCTCGATTTCCTTAGGAAAAATAAACTCCGAATCCTACTGCTATAGAGCCAAGGGATTAACTCCAAGGACCAGAGGGCTCTAGGGGTGACCCTGCCAAGGCAAGCCGTTGTTCCAAGTCCCGCATGGGTTTCATGCTCACTCCAAACTTAAAGGGCAACCCTCCCTCAGTCTGTGCTCTGGGCTAGATGTGTTCCTGGGATCACCTTGCCTAACCTGAACACAGGTGCATCATGGGAACAGGCCAGGGACACTGCTTGAGGAGCTTCCACTTTTGATGTTGACCACAGGTGACTTCAGGTGACAGATTCCCTGCTTGAGGATAGTGGTTCAGGTGTGTGGGCTTCGCACAGACTCTTGCAGCCTGCTATCCGGGCGGTTCCAAGCAGGTTACAAAAGAAAATCTTATGCCTCAGTCTACGGTGTGAGGATGACGCGCCCCACGAGGCTGCCGTGGGGGCACAGTGAGAAAACGCAGAGTGAGGTGTGCCCGGCAGTGCTGGCAGTTCTTGAGGACACAGAAGTACGTGGCCTATGTGCACATGAGCCCGGCAGGGTAACGTGATCTTCTCACCCGCTGACGGGGTGCGTGAAGGAATTGTGAAGGAAGGGTCCCACTGGTCCCCAGGACAGCCTTCTGTGGGGTCACCTTCCTCTTTCAGGACAAAACCACCATGTTAATATAACCTCAATAAGTCTGAGTCCCCAGTACACTGTAAAGAAAGAGCCTGCAAAGACGAGTCCACCTTAGAAATTCCTAAGGTCCAGGATAATTCCATCTGAAAGCTTTAGAAAATGTCATCCAGCCATCAAAAGGAAGCCCTAGCCTATCTGCAGCGAAAATGATCAGCCACACAGGTCCTTAGCTGTCTTCCCAATCGGAGCAATCAGCACCATTCAGTACTACGGCTCCCAACCAACCAAGCTGGCCAAAAGTCCTAAGTATTACCATCGTTTTTACTAATACGGAAATGATGTCTATGCACTTAGCAACTCTGTAAAGCAGAGAAGAGCTTAGAATGTTCTTTTTATTATTATTATTGTTTTGCCACTAGCAATTAATTCCTCTGATTTGTTTTATGAGTTTGATGGTTGGGTCCAACATTCAGAATATCTTTCCAAACCAGCAGAGTGATGTAAGAACATTAGTTCAGTGCAGTTCCCGGCAAATGGTGATGATGAATAGCAGGGAAGGACAAACTTATTCAGACACACATTTTTCAGTAGTGGCAGGGAAAAGGCTGAAAAATTACTAGTAAATTGCTTCTTGTAAAAATGCTCTCTCTTTCAAATTTTCCCTAGTATGAAGGTCTTCTGCAGAATGATGGCACAATCCGTCCTGACACCCCCGGACGACAAAGGCAGTTAAAAGATGAATATGAGATAAGATTGAGGGTTGAGAGTTCATTTTCTTATTTTACCCACCTCCTCCCTCCAAGTTTCCATGCTCCACCCCAAACCACGCTATTCTATGTGCATCTTTTTAACCTGTAGGAATAAGTGCCTCTAAAAGATATCTATTACCTCCCCGAGCAGGCTTTCCCTGCCCCATCCACCATGCGAAATCTAGGCCTTTGCAGAATGGAACGGGGTTATTGATGGGTCTCTGGACTGTTCCTTTTTCTTCCCCAGCTTTCTACAACTGTCCTGTTGGTGGAGTTTCAAGTTACAGAGGTCTCCTAATATCCCCAGCACCTGGTAAAGCACCAAAGCCTTTTTGCTTTCTCTGCAAGCCTTGCCTTTCGGGACATCGTGGGGGAATGATGGAACGGAGCCTGAGGCATTCAGGGCTGAAATGGCTGGAACAGTGGTCTGGGCTGGGATGGTTTTGCCCCCCAGGCTCATTTGGCAATGCCTAGAGACATTTCTAGCTGTCACACCAGGAGGAAGGTGTGCTGCCTCCAGGGAGTGGGTTGGAGTCAGGGCTGCTGCTGGGAACACTTTGCTCTGTGCTGGAGAGCGCCTCCAACAACAAGCTGCCTGGCCCGCCACGCCAGTCCTAAGCAACTGAGGACCCTAGCCTGAGCTGAATCAGATGCTGCAGAGATTACTTTCTGTTACCTCAAACACGATTAGCAGTTAGTTCGTGGCATAATGTGGGAAGAACTTGATTTTTCTGAGCCCTTCATTCAGTAAGCACTGTTGTTGGTCTGCAAGGTGCCAAGACCATGTTGGTCCAAATGCAGAGGTCAGCTTAACAGAAGACCCTACTGTAGAGAAGGCCAGGAGTGTAACCCACTCCCAGACAGGGGCTGCGAAGTTTCCTCTCTTCTTCCCCTGAACTGGCCTGTGAGGCTGACTAAGGATGTGGGGAGGCGTTGGACCTCTGTTCCCTGGATGCCTGGGTCCATTAGAATTAGTGGAGGTGGGTATGGTGGATCAGAACGTTGTTCCAAGCTGTGCTTCTTCCTTGCTGTGTGATGCAAAATAAGCAATTTAAACTCTCAAAACTCTCGTTTCCTCCTTGAAATGGGAAGGGTGGCATTGACCTTCAGGGACATAGACTTCCATACATAGATGAGTAGAGGTTCTGGCCCACAGGTTCTGGCAGTTGGTGCTACAAGTCTCTGGGCTGGGTCCACAGGCTCCAGGACAGTGCCTGAGGTCTGTCAACACTTGGCCCCAGCCACCAGCATTCTGCACAGGACCCTCTCCTGGGCCCTCATGGCTTCACTGTACGCTTCTCAAAACAGTAGAAAAGTAAAACCTAGGCCCCAAACAACACAGTGAACTGTATTTTCTTGCTTTAAGTTCAGCCTTCAGGAAACTTATTCCACGTACAATAAGCAGCTGTAGATCTGCCTAATAAAGTGAGGGCATTTCACCCACTGGTGTTCCCCAAGAGGACTCATCGGCCATCTGCATCTTTTTAGCTGCATTTAATAATTCAGCCCAGGATGAATTTGCATGATTAACATAAAGCCTCGTGATTTTATTTTCTTTCAGGATTTAAGGACTAAACAACTACCATTGTTTTCATTTTCAGAGGCTGTGATCAAAACACAAAACTTGATTCTAGAATGAATAATTTCTTTTTTTTTTTTAAGTATTTTTAAATACCACTCTCCATGGAATCAAAGAAAAGAGTTGCTACTGCTCTCTTTTGTCAAAGCCGGGAAACCCAAACGCCTTTTATGTGTTAACCCATGAGAAACAAGCCTTCCCTCCACAGTGTGTCCTTGATGGCACTGCCAGGCAGGTGTATGGCCAGCCCCCAAAGGGACCCACCACAGCCAACTAGATCTATTAATTTCAGTTCTTCGCCGCAGGCCCTCCTCACGTATCTGCTTGGGACCTGGAATCCCAGGAAGCCCTTAAACAGCAGTTCTTTTCGATTCCAGTAATAGATTAATCACATCATCCTCCAAAAAAAAAAAAAAGGAGTAAAAGCCCAGTAAGTTGTGTTTGTGAGCCATCTGCCTACAAGTGGAGACACATGTGAAGGAGAATGTGCAAGGCAGGCGAGGCAGCATCCTGGGTCCCTGATGAAGGTAGTACAACAGGTTGGTCTAACAGGGAAACATGCATTACTATCAAAAGAAAGCCCAGTGTATCCCACGTGGAAAAGCAAGCAGGCTTTAACATCTGAGAAGCAGCTCTTGCTGTGCCTGCCAGGAACTCCCCGCTGGATTTTTCTTAACAGAAAGGCTGACCTCACCTGTTTAAAAATAATTAGGGAGCCAGCAGTTGTAATTTTGGCTACAAGTCCGTACTGCCGGTGTTTGCCTGTGTATTTCTGATCCAGTGACACCTCTGTTGCTGTCTCTGAATGCAGGAACCATGGTCAGTAAGGAATCCGGCAAATGCCAACTCACAACGCCCGAGAGCGAAGTGGAGCCGGCTGCCTGCCTGGCCCTGGAGATGAAATACGCCCTGGATCCCAACCGGCAGATTAAAAAACGGAACAAAGCCCTGCAGGTGCGCTTTAAGGATATCTGCGAGGCCCAGAGTGAGCAGAGGGACACGCAGCTCTCCTCCTCCGGACAGCCAGGAGAGAAGAGGGAGGCCAAGCCCGTGTCCTGCAGAGCAGCTTATCGCAAATACATGACAGTGCCCGCACGCCGCTCCATCCCCAACGTCACCAAGAGCACAGGCGTGCAGACCTCGCCGGACCTGCGAAAGTGTTACCAGACATTCCCTCTGGACCGCAAGAAAGGGAGCCTCAAAGGCCTCCCAGCTGCAGATCCCTTCAAAAGCCAAAACAATGGGTTTCTAGCAGACACCAAGGAGAAGAGTGAGGCGGGCCCCATGGAAGAGTCCCGGCCATGCATGGCGGGGCGCGTTCACAAGACCACAGCCTTGGTTTTCCATTCGCATGAGCACGTGAATGCTCTGGATCAGCCTCCGGGGGTCAACTGCGCAGAGCCCTGCAGAGACCCCGGAGTGCTCAGCCATCCAGAGGGTCCTCTGCAGAACTCCTCACGGCCTCCCCCCCAAGAGCCTGCTCACCAGCTGCAGGGGCGAGCAAAGCCTGAGGGGGGGACCCCAGACTCTGAGGAGCCCGCTCTGCCCGCCCATGGGAGGGTGTTTAAAACGGAGGTCGCCACCGTGTACGCACCTGCCATCAGTGCCAGGGCCCCTGAGCCTGGCTTGTCAAACTCTGCTGCCGCCAGCCAGTGGTCCCTCTGCCCTGCAGATGAGGAGCAGAGGAGAGCCACACATCTCAATGGGCTGCAGGCGCCCCCGGGCTCTGCTCTGGCCTGCTCGCCCTCAGTGCAGTGCCTGTCCCCCGAATGTAGTGAACAGCCCCTAGAGACCCAGCCCAGTCCCACAGCTGTGGCGGCGGGTGAAGAATGCCAACAAATCGTGCCTCACACGGAGGTGGTGGACCTCAAGGCACAGCTTCAGATGATGGAGAACTTGATCAGCTCCAGCCAGGAGACCATCAAAGTGCTCTTGGGGGTCATTCAGGAGCTGGAGAAAGGAGAGGCCCATCGGGAAGGGTATGTATGCCCACCATGTCTAATGTCCTCTTGCAGGCCCACCACCCCGTCCATCTGTAGCCCACAAAACCCAAGTCCTTAAGGAGACCAAGGCCAGCATTTCTGTGAATGGGCTGTAGTCTAATGCCCCATGCTATAAGGGGTTACACACACTGTGTTAAAGGGACAGGACTGGTGGCACAGTCCCCTTCAGGGAATATACTCACTATCTGGGCTTGAATTCAATCTGAACCTATATTTTGAATGAACTGATTCATCTTTCCTTTTAATCTACTAGGACTAAAAGTTTATGATCTTGATAACGCGTAACACATATGCCAGTCTATACTATCTGAGTAAGAACCTATTTGCGTCTGAGGAACTATATTATGAAAGAGAAAACAAGTTCAGATGGTATTGGGAAAAGTAAAGTCTGACTTATAAGCTTATAATAAATAACTGGGTTGACACTGATATTCAGGACTATACACTGTTTTATTTAACAGACAATATGCTTTTCTTTCTTTTTCTGGAGCACACACAGAAATAGTGCCCCCTCCTTCAACAGGATATGATTAGGAGACAGATGCCCATTCCCATGGGTGCCCTGTGTGTCCAGTTGGGCTGCAGAAAGAAGAGTACCAAGTTCACGGCCAACACTGTCTAGCACCTCTAAGAGCCTGCTGGACGTGATGGTCTTTTGAAGTTGAAATTGTGCAGCAGCATCTTTAATGACAAATTATCTAAAGACAGACCCAGTTGTGAGGTCCTCGGTTAGGAACCCACCAGTAAGCCAGGCATGGTGTTAGGTTGACACACTGGGTCAGTGGCCTCAGGTTCCAGGCTGCTCCTCACCAGCCTTTGGACTGCCATGCCTGCTCCTTCCCTGTGCCCTCGACCATGCCTCGCCTTGCTCCAGTCAGTGTTCTGGAGGCTGGAACTGAGGATGAGCTCGGCTGATGTGATCTGCACCCTTCCCACTGTGGGCTGCAGGAGCTGGCAGCCAGCACGGAGAAGGTCAGCCAGGCAGTGCATTACCAGGGCAGCCTGCCACCCGGGCACCAGCTCCTCAACAGGATTGCAAGCAGAGGAGAAGAAACAGCCTCTGAATTCCAAGGCAGGAGCTGAGGATGCAGGGTCACTCCAGTGGCGAGGGACCTGGTGCAGGTCTTGTCTTGGCTTCTGGCTGCTCCAGCTGAGAGCAGGGGCCTATCCACAAAACGAGGGAATGCTTCATGCCATCCCCTCTGATTTACACAGGGAAATTGCAGTTGTTGCTATTAAACAATAAGAAGCGCCAGCCAAATGTAATCTAACAGGAGATTAGGATAATCTAGCACGATGGGATTTTCAGAAAGCCTTTGTTAATCTTGAGTTCGTGTCACCATTTCCATCCCACTTCAGTCATCTAGACTTGAGTCTGTACATATCATAAAACAACACAGGGGAGGCGGAATGTGACAGCAGGGTCCACTGATCAATAGACCCCATTCCCTTGGGAAAAACTACAAGCATAGACAGTGACTCCCAACCTGACTCTGAAGTGACTGGCAGTAACTTGAGCTAGACAGCAAATCAGAAGGAAGCCAACATAGCCAGGGGGGAAATAATCCACCAAACGGCATAAAACCAAACATGTCCGCTGCTGCGCATGCTCATGGGATGTGTGCCAGGGAACCTGTGATGGCTGCACACCCACAAACACCCTCTCAAAGAGAAACCAGGCTGTATTTTAGGCTCTTCCTGATGCTATTAGGATACTATGACCATTGTATTCAACATCATCCTCCGGCTTCTCTGAGACTCTTTCTGCCCAGTGAGATGGTTTGGTTGAGTAAGACACATGCAGGTGGGATTCTGGCTCCACTGACTTGGCCTGGGCTCTACCTCCCTGTGCCTCTTCTCCTCGCCTGTAATTGGAGAGGCTGATTGCCAGTCCCTTGGTGGGGAGAGGATGTATGGGTGACCTTCTCAGGGGATCCTCCCAGTGGCAGATGTCCTTGGATGGGTGGGTGTCCACCAGTGCGTGACAGCTGGTCTTGTTGGCCAGTGATGTCAAAGACAATCATTTAGAGGCCTGCATTTGAATCCAGCATGATGAGTGCACATCCCCCATACTGGGCACACACCTCCAACCCAGGTGCCATCAGTCACATGTTGCTAATGAAACTCAAAGTCACATTAATTAATCAGTCACAATTGAAAAATCAGTTCCTTGCTCACACAGGCCACACTGAAAATGCTTACCAGGGAAATGCACAAGATGGTGCAGAGGGAGAACATGTCCCTCAACAAGAGAAGCCTTCACTCCAAACCATGGCACAGTGATGCCTGGCTGCAGGCCACCTGAGGACCTGGGCACCTTAAGTCACTTAAAAATCAATCCCAGTCCAGCTGCTGCCCCACCAGACACACTCACAGCAGAGGGCAGGTTCACACTGGTGGTCCCTACATCTGCTCTGATACCCCCACTCCCACCTCCCTCAGAGCCCTCTGGATGCAGAGGACAGTGAATCAAGTGCCAAGCCCACCATCATGATGCCCTTCCTACCCAATGCCCAATGTGGCTATAACTCAGGCGTCCACCCCTCTTTTCCACATCAGAATACTGGAGAAAGCAGCAGCTTCTGAGGAGACAGAGACAGACAAGCTCTTTCTTCACCCCCTCCTGGGCTAGGGTCACGCAGAATCCTGGGCACTGCTCTGGGGAAGGGGAGCATCTGCCATTTTTCTGATGCAGCCACAGCCCTTTCCAGCAGATCCCAAATCATGAAAGATCACCTCCCTGCTCCTCGGAGCACCTAACCAATCCCTGGAGGGTAGCCCTGGAGGTCACTTGAGAAGGTGGAATTCACTCACTTTATGCACTTGATTAAGGCTGGGAAATAGATGCCTGAGTTGCCTCTCAAGATAAAAACCAGGAAAATGCAGTAACTTTTATGTAGATTCTTATATAGTCATTTGGCAATATGAAAAGGATTGAATGACCGAGTTAAAATACCTACAATTTTCTTTGGAAAACATTCTAAGACCTAAAGTCATTAACTGTGGAGAATCCTAGAAGCTGGGTGGAGTCAACGGCTCTGCATGTCCTCCACCCCCAATGAAACCCAATAAAGAACAACCCTGGTTGAGGCCAGGCACCTTGGTTTGTCCCCAGGGTTTATTTAGGGACAAACCTTGTCCCCAAATTTCCACAGCATGCTCCAGGCTTGCCCTGGGCCCTGGGGAGCCCTAGACTGCTCTTGTGCACACTGTTGGGACAGCTGGGGAACCCAAAGCTCTCTGGATCTGGCCAGTGGCCCTCAGCCACTTAGGTTTCTTGGAACACAGCTAATGTGTAATCTTTTTTGTAGGACTTCTTGTCACTACTGAGTTCATCAGGCGAGCTCTTCCCAGTAGTTCTTACTCTGGAGGAATTTCTGTGCCACCAGCCATGACCAATTTCAGTAGCTTCCAAATAATTTTTCATAAGAGACTCTTTGCTTAATCTCATTTGCTTGTGTAGATTTCTGCAAGGCCTCAACAGAGAAAGGTCTCATCGTAGGCAACTTACTTAGCCTCCATGAGTTTCAGCGTTGTCTTCCACTGGGCAGGAGTATCATCCGTTAAAAACGATGCCCATAAACCCTTTCCTCTAATCAGCACACGGTGGCTGGGAAGAAAGGACAGTCCTATAAGAGCATTTCATCAGGACTCATTCTGTGAGCAGGTAGACGGGCACAAAGCATCCAAAACCATGTCTTTTAGTACCTTGTAAGAAGTTTGCACAGTTCACTAAAATCACTCTGCATTTGAGCCTTGGCTTGCATGAATGCCAAGAATTACCAGCTTATTTCAGACTTCTCAGTATTATTCTTGTTTCTTCTCAGAAAGGTTAGGGTCACACAGGCTACCTAAATAAGTAACTTCTGTAGTCATTGAGGGCTAGAATAAGCAAAGCAGAGAATTTTGAAAAACCAATCAATTCCTAGAAGAGTGGTGATTCCTGACAGCAGCTATGGAAATCCTGGGCAGAGGGGCTGCAGACAAACTGGCTGCAGGTCATCAGTGAAAATGCCATCCACTGTAGTGCGGTGGCCCAGCAGCACCCTGGGTAGACATAGCTTCGTTTGCTTCCAAAATTGCATACCCCAAACATTTTAGTCTAGAGGAAGTCACTGGTTCGTGACAGCCTACTGATGCTGGGTATTCAGAGAAGCTGTTGAGGCCTTCATGCACAAGTCCAGGATCATCAGCTGCCCAGAGTGAAGCAGGCTCTTCCACGGGTTGGGTCTCTCCAGCATCTGCTGTGTGCTACCCACAGGCTCTGGTCAGGGTACAGAGGGACCCAGGCCTCGCAGGCCCATAACATGACCACAGTAGACAGAGATGAAATCAGGAAGCTTCGTGGCTATACTAAATCAGGGCTAATGTGAGACCCTGAATTGAAAGGAGAAATCCTAAATAACAGGCCAGCCGCAGGGGTCCATGGCTTGCAGGAAAAGCTCGGATCCCCATGATCCACAGTCTCCCTCGATTCCTGCCATGCCACTGTGGGGACAGCTCCCTGTTACTCAGGTTCCTTTTCACTGAGAAGGAGCTGTTTCTTGGTGACCCAGGCCAGTTCTCCCAAGTTCAGGAAATACAGTGGTAACAGAAACAGAAGCTTTGAGAATCCCCTCTAAATTAGGGCTCCATGAGGGCAGGCTTTCAGGACAGGAAGAAGATACTACATGCACATCAGTGCAGAGTCCTAGATTAACACCTGCTCAACTCTGGTTTTCCTTTGAATCACTAAGAAGTGGGAACAGCCACAGGGGAAAGAAGGCTCCAGGGACCTGGACTTCTGGAGGGTCTGAGATAGTTCCTCCCATATGGGGGAGTGAGCAACCATTTTCTGCAGAGATAGACTGTCCATGTTTTAGGTTTTGAGGGCCATACAATCTACGACACTATGATTCAACTCTGCCAATGTATCCTGAAAGCAGCCACAGACAATCCATATACAAATGGGCACAGCTGTGTTCCAATAAAACATA